CCAAAGTCCTGTAGTGAAATGTGTTAGTCCCCCCCCCCCCCTCATAACCAGTTTCCTCTCCCTACAAAATATTCATCAACCAAGAAGTAACAAACAGTACCTTGAAGAACCATCTGGAAATCTGACACTTCTAGCACCAGGGTACTTATTAGGGCCATTACGGACGCATTGCTTCAACTTGTCAATATTATGTCGGGAAACACATTCAGGAAAAGTTAAGATCCGGGCCATAAGGATAGGAATTCCCACCTGAAAAGTTTATTAACCTTTGCGATTAATAATATAAATTAATCACAAAAGTAATAATTCAAACAACCTGCCAAGATAAGGTTTACCTGTGTAATTTTCAAATTGGGATCAGGTGAAATAACAGTTCTACCAGTGAACTCGACACGCTTCCCTGACAAGTTTGCACGGAAACGTCCCTGTTTTCCTTTGAGACGCTGAAGGAGTCCACTCAGTGGCTTGGTGTTTGGCATGACCTGGACACCTCGGACTTCACTATTAATGTATTGAGCAACCTCGCTTTGAACTGTATCCCATACTTGCTGCAAAAAAAATCCGCAACAAATAAGAAAGAAGAAGAAAAACAGAACTAGAAATAGTAACTAAAGAAAATCCTTGTACCATGTTTTTGGGAGATGTGGTAGGTTGACTTAAAATTTTGTGAAGAGAAGCATTGTCTTGTATGATTTTCTTTAATCTCTCTGTTATGTCGTTTTCATTACTGCAGCAAAAAGAAAACACATTCTTTCAAGAAAAACCAATATAATTGACATAAGAAAGATAAACAAAAAATGATATAGCTAACCTTTGTGTACCACCAATCATAACAGACGGTCGGATTGATAAAGGTGGCACGAGCATGCACGTTGTGATAAGACTCTCAGGTCTATGAGCAATATAAAGGAGTTCACAGTCCTGTTTCAATTCCAGAAAGAAAAAAAAAATCAGCATGACTAAATTTTCTGAAAATATGATAATCCTCTTAACTCCAGCAAAACTAGGTAGAAAATGCATTATAGATTCAAACTCAAATATTACCTTGTCACTCATTCTTTTAAAAAGTCCAAGCACCACGTTGGGATCAAGAACATAGGTAAGAGGATTTATTCCTCCAACAGACTCTTTTGTGTGGGATATTGCAGATTTACATTCATCAATCTCTCCACCATGGATTTTAGATCGGTCATGACTGATGCCTATACCCAACTGCGCCGCAACCTTCTTTACCATGCCTGAAAACGATCAATGAACTTATATAAATATGAACTAAATTTTGCATCTAAGATGAAACACACGAGAAAAGCAACCAAGATTTTAAAGTTATGTATTAGAAATATTTTAGCCAAAAGAAAGATTAAAAAAAAAAGCATACCATTCAGGTATCCACATTTTTGGCATGTAATAGCTTTCTGGCTAGCCATAAGACTGCACTTCTTGACAACAGCTTTAGCCAATTCAGTCTTCCTCAATGGCTCCGTTTTAGGATTCCGCATCTTCTTCAAGTGATCTTCATACAACTTCTCATCAATAAGCATGTTAGCACAGCTCTGTGAGAGAAAAAAAAAATTCCAGTCATTGTCCTAAGAAATAATTTCCCATGCTTTACCTTTTCCCATTCAACAAAAGTAAAAAGGTGGAGAGAGATAATCAGCTACCTTACAAATGCACTTCAAAATGTCAAGGATAAAATTGAAGAACCCAACGTTGTAAACCGGAAGATCAAGCTTCAGATAGCCATAGTGTCCAGGACAGTTCTGGAAGTTGCCATGACATGTTGCGCATGTAGACCTTTTGTTAGGAGGTCCCTGTACACAATAACACCATATACAAGACATAGTTATAGCTCACTGTTCTAAAAATCGGACATAAAGGAAACGATTTCTTAGACCAATTTACCATTGGTCTACTCAATAATCTCATATAAAACGCCTAATGATTTCTTGAACATTGGTTATAGTTTGATTAAGAAAGCTTAAACCAAAAGAAATCTATACCATTCGAGGATCCAACAAGCCGCCTTCAATGGGTTTAAAATTGGTCTCATAATACATATTCTTCCAGACCTGAACCTCAGCAGCTTTCATGACTTCAATATCAGACAGCATTGAGAAGTTTATGCTTTGTCTGTTGCATATAATAATAAAACACTAATTTCAGTTTCCTCTGCTTTTTCAAACCAGAGAAGAACAAAAAAAAGGAGTGATTTTTATTTTGAGCAGAGGATTAAAAAGATTACATTTTGAGAGGACCAACATCTTGGACGTAGGGCTTCTTAGTGAATTCGATCTCCGTCTTCGTCTCCATCTCACTCTCTCTCCAATCAAAACCTGAACTGAGTTCAAATCGGTGTCAGAGGAAGATGAAATCGAAGAATACGGTGATGGGAGCTTTTGGGTTTTAGGGTTTAAGGGGGGAGGAGATCGAGTAACAGGCGGGAGATACAGAACGGCTGCAAAAAAAAAAAAAGACTGGAGGCGCGATGAAGACGGAAAAACCTAGTTGAGTATCGAACTCGCGACCCCTGGCTGATGATTCAAGGGTGGTTTGCCACAGGGGTATATATCCTAAATAACTATTAGGTTACAAGTTTTAGTATCTAAATGTGAAATTTTGCTTTTTTATTTAATTTTGGTCGACTTTCATTAGGCTCAAAGGCCCAATTGATACAAGCTAAATCAAGCCCATTAATAATATAATAAGCCCAAAAAACCCTTTCATTACGTATATTTATTTTTAATTTGAGATTTTAATTTTTTATTTTCTTAGTTATATATTTATTTTTAAAAATGTTTAGAGTCGCTTAAGAGAGATTGAGATTTTGCCCTAAATTTTGTGTGAGAGCAGCGGCGATGAAGACGGTGACGGGAAGAGTAACGAGTACGAAACCGATCTCTCTCTCTACGGCGGCCACGCTCCTCTCCGGTTTCGTTTCTTCTGACACCGGCGCCGCTCAAGACGTTGCCGCCTACCTCCGACGCGCTAACGCTGCCTTCAGTGAGCTAAAGAGCTTTCACCGAGAGATTAGATCTACGAAGAAGGGAAAGGGTGAGAAGAAACCGAGTGAAGAACTCGTGGATGAGAAGAGCAAAGGTGAAGATGTTGTTGAGGAGAAGGTGAAGTTGGAAGAGGGGAAAGAGAGGAAGAAGAAGAAGAACAAAGGTGAAGATGTTGTTGAAGAGAAGGTGAATGAAGAAGAGAGAAAGGAGAAGAAGAAGAAGAATAGAGTGGAAGATGTTGTTGAAGAGAAGGTGAGTGTGAAAGTGGAAGAAGAGCAAAGTAAGGAGAACAAGAAGAAGAAGAAGAAGCTCAAGGAGAATAAAGGTGAAGATGTTGTTATTGAAGAGAAGGTGAATAGAGAAGAGAGAAAGGAGAAGAAGCGGAAGAGTGAGGGAGAGATTGGTTCTGAGGAGAAGAAGAGCAAGAAGAAGAGGAAATCAAAGGAGATTGATGATGCTTGAAGTTGCTTACTTTATTTGGTGATCTTGGAGACAAATTTTGTAGTGATTTATTTTCAAAATGTTTCGGGTAAGTTGTAGGCTAATGATGTCCCTCTAGTGACAATTAAGATTGAAACAAGATATGTTTTTTCTGGAACTCTCTGTTTTGGTAGTGTTATATTGCATTCTGTACTGTTACTATATCTGGAAGATTATTGATTGCAAAGTTGCAAGTGTTTTTTTTTTTAATTTGGATCTTGAAGTCGCAAGCTTTATATAAGAACTCAGTTCTGTTTAGGCACTTGAAAGTCTTATGCTTGAACGCATAGAACTCCATAATTGCTCTGCAGTGAAAGTTCTTTGTATCAAGGAAGGAGTTCCTAGTCTTAGTCTTATTCAATTCAAATAAACTTGCTTTTTTTTTGTTATTACAATGGTTCTTTTTGGTTCTGTTTCATGAGCTAGCAGAACATTTGATTTCATATACATTTCTATGTAAAGTTCCTAGAATGCCAAAGTAATAGGAAAAAAATATTGATCAGGACTTACATTAGGATTATCAACATTTTGAATACAGAATATTGGTGGATGATGAAGATTCGTTTCAGTCTTGTGTGTCTAAGAAAGCAACGTCATATTCAGTAACTCGACCAGGCGTGTGCATGATTCAGTAGTTTCTGATGGTTCAGCTTCATACTTACTGATAAAGAAGGCTACTTTTGAGTTCACCATACTTTTGAGCTTATTTAGAGTCATGTTATCCCTGTGGAAGACTACGGAGCGCACAGCAAGGAGAAACTCAAAGACACAGTTGGTCCCATGAACTTTTGAGAGAGTAATGTTGTTAACTGATGAACAACCAGCTCTTGGCAGGTGTTTCACTGAAACTCGTGTCCTGTCTGTGTTTCTCTTGCAGATGTGGGTGCTGTATCAATTGTTTACATGGGACCAGCGGATGCAAACAATTTGTTTATGTCTTCAACAGTTAGTTGTTACAGAGATTCTGATCATAACATTACAAGGTAAACGCAACTTTTGGAAATTAAATTGTGTAAATATAATAATTAACATGGTACAGTATTACAACACACAGATCTACAGTTACAGAAAACAGAGCTTTGCAACAGAAAAATAACAGAACAGAAATTGACCTCATGTCAAATTATTGAACAGGACTTGACCTCATGTCAAACTGGTAAATGGCCGGAAACAAATGCGTGAGAAGCTTTGAATAAAGAAGAGACAAAAAGAGAAAAAAAGGAACTGAATCACGTAGCCATAAATAATCAGCATTTGGGCAAGTCTGCAGGAGGAGGAAGAAGTTTCTGATCAGGCTTATCTCCATCAAGAACAAGCCAAGCCATCCTCAAACCCCAACTGGTATGTACCTCCAAGTGACAGTGCATGAACCACACTCCTGTCAAACATTTGCAAGATTAGACTAACGTAAAGCTATGTTTCTTTAGTTTATAGTATTTTCTCTTACCTGGGTTATCTGCAAGGAATCTAATAGCAGCCCATCCACCAGATGGCACACCAACTGTGTTCCTCTCTATCGGATCAACAAGATTGAAGTTCTTAGGGTCCTTCTTCGGGTCAAAGTTCCCAAACCCTTGGCCAACGACAAAGAAGTTGAACCCATGAAGGTGAAGAGGATGGCTCTCTGCACCAAGAATGCTAGTGTCTTGCATCACCAGCTCTACACTTGTGTTATAACGCAGAACCATCAAGTTTGTCCCTGTGCTAACCATGGTGTTGTTAGGTGGAGTGCCTGTGTAGTTAAACGGGGTAGGATTCCATGGGAAGTTTGGGGAATACACTCCATTAGATAGCCCAGAGTAGTGAGATTGAAGGAGAGCCTTTGTTGGCATTGTGAAGGAGATGTTGCTGATTGATGCAGCAAACATTGTGGTGTTAGTAGGACCTTGACATGTCTGGTTGTTCTTATGATTACACGGGTTTGTTCCCAATCCTACTGTGAAAAAGAACTTCCTATCCACCTTCTGAGGCACGTTCGCCGGGAACTTCTTGCTGTTCAAGCTACGCAGCTTGTTACTAAACTTGGTAGCATAGTTTGTATCGTTCAGAGCAGGAAGAACTGGTGTGAAGAGCTGAAGATTCTTGATAGAGGTCTTTGCATGTTTAGGTTGTTCATATTCTAAGATGCCTGCAACTGTAGAGTTATCAAAAGTTCCTTGACCTGTGACATATGGTCTAGCTTTCATGAAGAAAGAGGCACTCGGGTAACTTGGTTTGGTCTTAAGCAGGACGTTTGTGGTTTGGCCAGGAGCGATTAAGATGGTATCTGTCTCAAATGGCTTGACGTAGATAGCATCAGCTTCAACAACTGTAACCGTGTGGTTTGCAATGCTGAAAAAGAGCTCGTCATTAAGTGCAGCGTTGATTATCCTGAGAAGGTATGTCTTTCCTGGCTTCACTCTTAGTCTGAATGTATCTGTGTTTTTACATCATTGGTTATAGATTCATATTTTTATCATAACCATGATGAGTTTAGGTAGGAATCAACACTTACCTTTAGCTGAACAGTTGTATAGTGGACCAGGAAGACCGTTGATGGTATAAGCATCAGAGACATTAGGACCACCTCCTGTCAAGGTTGCTTGGCGGATGATTGCCTCAGTGTCTGCATTGAACCACTCGCCTGAAAATTTCAACCAGAAAAGATTCAGTAATACTGTTTTGAAATCCTCATCTGATCATCAGTTTCTTAGTCATCATCCTCACCAAAGACCATGGGAACTTCTTTGTGAGGTTTGGGAAACGGGTACGGAACACCGTGTTTGGGAAGAATGATAAGAGGACCATAGACTGTTGCTCTAAGCCATGAAATGTGAGCATGGTACCACAGAGTTCCTCTTTGACCAACAATGGTGTAGTTGTATACATAGCTTTGCCCTGTCTGAATAGGACATTGGGTTATGTAAGCTGGTCCATCAGCCCAACCAGACCGCAATTGCCTGATCCCATGCCTGAGAAACCAGGTGTTAGTAATCAAACATTGCTCTTAATAGTGCTAAAAGTGTTTTAAAGATTATTACCAGTGGAGAGAGATATTGTTTGGCACATTGTTAACAACTTTGATCAAAAGCTGGTCACCTTCCCTAGCAATAATCTTAGGCCCTGGAAACTTCCCGTTTACTGAAACAAGGCTCTTTGTGTGACAAAGACGTGTCACGTTATGCATTTTTATCTGCAAAAACATATGAAACATCATATCATCATCTGCAACTGTTCATGTATAATCTTAAAATTTACACAAAAATCAACAAATATTCACATACGTCCAGCGTGTAATGCCTTGTAATCCCAAATGCAGGCTCAGGAAGAAGAAGAAGACAAGAGAAAACAGCAAAGAGAAGCCAAGACGCCATTTTCTTATATATCCTTGGGAAGTTTAAGTGATCTTGGACCTTGTACTAAAGCTGGTAAGGTTATTTAATACTCTGCCTCTGTTCTGTTTTGTTTTCCTGTAGATTGTGGATTTCATTGTTTCAACGTCTAGTGAATATATAGGAAGGAGAGTTAGGTGTTTGCTTGAGCAGGAGATTTGGAAAAAATATATTTAGTAGTTGTTTATGTAAAAACAAAAAGATAATTGGTAGAGAAGTCTATGTAACTCCAGACTCTTGATTTTGACTAGCTGTTAGAGCATATATGAACAGCTTATCAATGAGTGATGTCAAAGATAAGTCAAAACTCTTTGACCCTCTTTAATCCCTCAAAAAATTTAGTTTCCTTTTCAATATTATAGCATATAATAAAATATGAAATGCAAAGTTGCCAATTATAGTTTCTTTAATGTCATAGCTCCTCCTGTTCTGCTTCTTTGACAGCTTTAAGTACTTCAAAAAATTTACAGGAGGAAATAAGTTACTTGGACCAAATGTGGCAGTTCGTATAGTTAGATATAGTGGGAACTCTGCAAATAATTTAGAACTGTATTAAACTTCTAGAAGGGTAAAGTTTGTGGTTAACGGTAATGTTTTCACTCTATAGTGGATTTCATCATTTAATAAGGCCATTTAAGTGCTAAGTACTTCATCTGTTTATTAATTATTTAGTTTTATTTTGCAGGTGGGGACTTTATAAGGAGATTAATGGAGGTGGAGCTAGTCAAAACATTAGTAAGCTAAAATTGCTTGAGGGATAAGCAAAGAGAGGGAGATAGTAGCTATCAGAGAAGGTCACAATTAGGGTTAGATATCAAAATCCATGAAGGTTATTGTCAACATATCGTGGATTACAAAAACATTGAGGAAACCTCAAAATAAGGTTGCCTTTTTTATTTCCCAAGCAAGTGACCTAACTCCCCTTTTTAAGTTCGTATCCTCAAAGGCATGCCACTTATACTTTTCTCTCTACAAAAATATATGTATAACATAATATTTACTGAAAATATATTGCAATAATAATATACATATGGGATCTGTTTGCTTGTTATTTGTCTTTCATATTTATAGTTTTGATGAAATTTAAATGTAATTAAATTTACAATCAAAATATGATGTAGACAAGGTTGCTAAGATGTAGGTATCAGTTTATCCCGTAACTATGAGAAGTCGGTGATTAAAATATATATTTTTTCTTTATAACATCTTAAAAAATATTTTTTTTTGGTTTAAACTAATGATGTAGAAATGTAGTTCAATCCATTTGTAGGTTTTTACAGTTATGTCTTTAATAGTATATTAGTTGGTAACTCACAATCAATAAGTAAATATAGTTATAGATATTTATTAAACTAAGTATGTTTTTGTCGCATGACACGAGATCTTTATTTCATTTCAATCAGGGTTATTTCAAAATTATTTGTCCGCGTAATTATCTCCCAAATTATTTGATAACGAAGTTCTGATATCTCTATAACGATTTCAACTATAGTTATCTAATACATTCCAAAAAAAAAAAGATCTTGTAGGTATTCAGACATCAGACCAGTTTCAGCAATCTCCTTTTTAAACGGAATGTATTCTTCAACTTACCAACTACATATCGATCTTAAGTTGAAACCTAAATTAATCTTAGAATTACAGACATTATTAAGTGATTTAATACATATATGAATTGGTAGTCTACTAACAAGATAAAATTATTGGACTTAAAACGCAGAATTAGACATGCTAAACACACATACTAGATTTGACATTATATATCAATTAGCATTTGCAGCGGAGATTAAGGTACTCCAGAGACTAGACCTCCTATTATAGAGGTTGAGATAGTACTACCTTGTATACCTGAATTTTTATCTACTAAATCGATGTGTCATAGATCAATAATGACAGTGTGAAAATTACATGAGAACTTAGAGGACATGAATCAATTTATATTCTTCGGAGTAAGAATGATCAAACATACTCATTAGCAAAAGAGGTAAGGAACATAGATCATATTTTCTCCCATATAAATAAGAGACACTTACACACGGAAGTATTCGTATAATAGGCTCATCAGGCCACAACTTGATCTAGTTACATGGATAATTGACACACAAAAAAATCAATTAGCATTTTATAAGTGTATACTAACAAGATGAATATGGAACTTAAACTCAGACTTGGATCTGATGGTTTCTTCGTCTCTTTATTTGTTTTCTTTTTTGAAAATGATGGCTTCTTTGTCTCACCTTCAGTGTTATTCACACATCCTTTGTAATGGTTCTCTTGTTCCGGTTTCATTATCCTCTTCCAGGAGGTAATGGTTGTATTAGTATGAGTGTTAGTTTTAGTATGTAACTAATTTTTGGATATTAATAAATGTTAAAACCAAAAAAGTCTCAGACTTAAATACGCTAAAAACATTATATCAATTAGCATTTTTCACGAATCAATACGCGTAAGATGTACACATGATCATGTCAAGAGAGTTTGATTAGATTGGAGAGTTTTTTTGTTTGACAGTATTTTTATTGTACATGTTTTTCTCTTATTTGTTTTTTACATATATATTGTAGTTGCACCAACCTTGATTTCTAATTAAGGCTACGTATATATATATAGTATAATGTATTTAGGTAGTATACATATATAGTAATTAGAGAATACGAATATATATGTAGATCAGTGTAGACAGTTACCAGCCACCTTTTTTTTTTTTTTGTAAAAAAGTTACCAGCCACCTTTTACGTGAATATATATAGATATGAATAATTATAAAGTTCTCGAAGAAAATATGAGTAACCAAAATTCTGCATGCACAATTAGCGTTATATAATCAACTTTATTAATCTTTTTCTAAAGACTTATTTAATAATCTTTGAGAGGAACTGATGAATGATGATTAATTTTTTGTAGAAAAAAGAATGATGATTATTAAGATGCTTTACCTTAAATGCTGAAGAATAGACAATCTTAATAACGTTTTAAAAAGATTTAAAAAGAAGAAGAAGAGTATTCCTTAGGATTATACAATTATTGAATTCAAATATGTCCGTATCACTGTATATCAGTTTTTTCTTTTGTAACTGAAGTAAACCATATACTTTCTTTTTTTGAAAAAATATCAGTATATGGTTTACTTTAGAATTAAATTAAATTTTGCAATAATTTTTTGTCCGTGTAACTATTTTCAAAAACATTCAGAAAATGGCATAGAATCTGTGTTATAAGATATTGAGTGTTTCAAAAAAAAGTGTTTTATAAAAAAAAGATATTCATGGAAGATGGATATCTCATGATTTAGCCTACGTACCAAACTACGTTTAGCTTAACAGGTTGGACTCTTCTGTGCACTTCGTTCTCATGTTACCTACTCTTCTCCACTTTCATTGCTTTTTTTTTCTTACACGATCTACATTAATTTTGTTTTAATTAGAAATGTTAGTTATCTCACTTTTTTTTGTCAACATGTTAACTATCTCACTAGTACTCAGATCCTGTGTTATGCTTGAGAAGAAATATATATATATATGCTCGTGGATTTGTCGTATGTATCATTAAAATTTGGTTAAAAGTTAAAACGTGAGATCTTACAAAGAAAAAGAGTTAATACTTGAGAAAACTACAAGTATGAGAATTATTAAAACACTTCTGTACCAATTTTTTATACAAACCTTTCCCAATAGTAAATTTGCATTTCTTATCCATACACGTACTTCTGAGAGTGTTAATTCAGAATATAAAAAATCAAAATCAGATTAAACCAATAGTAAAGTTTAATTAAAAGTAGATTATAAATATGTATAAGACTATAAACTATTAGAAATGTTACATCACAAATAAATAAATCTAATCTAGTATATATAAATAATGTGATTCATTATCTATTCTTTTTTGTTGGTTCCAATTGAAAATAGGATTTTCCATATTAAAATACATAAATAGTTTTATCAATAACATGTTTGATGTATACATATTTCAGTATATATAAAATAGATAGGTGAAGGGTTCGACACTCGTCAAATGCCTTACCCAATATTTTATTATTTTTACATTTTTTTTGGTTTTCGGCCCATAAGATTTAGAGTATTTGCATCTCATATACTAACTAAACCCATAAATTAACTATTTACCCTTTTTCTCTCTTATCTCTCCTCCCCCCTCTCACTATTTTTCCCGCAAAACCATAGCATATTGCTAATATCCAAGTTCTTTATGGATTATAGGCCAATTCACCCGATTTTAACATATTTAATTCTCGAGAATTATAACATGCACGACTGTTTATAAGTTTGTATTTACATATATATCTCAGCTCCAAAATCAGTTCTCTTTTAAACATGTTATATTTTAATATTACTTGATCACCTATGTATAATGTAAATATTAACTTGTTAAACGATCAATGTAAAAAACAAAGTGAACATTTTGAAATGCCCATTTGTGAGAGTTTTGGCAACTATCAAAAAGATTACTAAGACAAAATAAAGAAATTAAAGAACAGTGTTTCATATACAAACAATTTAGGCAAAAATATACTCGAAGTTTTTTCTTGATCAGAATGTTACTGTACATTTTACAGGGATAATTACTTTACATTAAATCACCAACTAATTACAATGTGACTGAGCACAGTCAAATTCGGCTTCTTTAATTCAATAATAGGTATATGATTAATTTTGGTACGTCAAACTTAACATTCTTAATTACCCAAAAATGTAGTTTTGGTTAAAAGTTTTCCTTGTGGAAAGTAAAACGAGTGGATGACTCGAGACTAAACTCCTGACAAAGATCTCTAAGTGGTCGAACCAGTGTTGGACTTCCACAGTAGAACACCCCTGAAACCAAACAGGTCAAGAATTGCATGCAGATATAAACAAATAGTTTTAACTATGAATTAAACTATAAACTTTCAGAAAGTAAACGAAGAGAAGTTAATAAGATTTACTAAAAATGGATTACCTATTCGACAAGCTTCGTGTTTGCTTGACAATTCAGAAAAAACCTTCCTCCAGTTAGGTCTTGCGAAATGTGTTCGTATCTGATTTGTATTTTACGAAGTTAAGATTAATAAACTAAATTATTTTTTTAAAATAAAAAATTTGCTAAGAATCTTGTAATTGTTTAAAAAAATTGGCCTTTATACGTTTAAGATAGAACACGATCATGAAGTTAGATTGGACTAGTATTTTTTGTGTCAGCGACTCTATAGTGGATAGTTCTAAAATGAAGACTTTATTTTCTAAATTCCTTCAAATATTTAGTTAGGAAACTAAATCCAAATTCAAACCAAACCTCGTTTTTGGTGATTTATTACTATGAAAAATTGAAAACTTACTCGGCTTTCGGAGACAATGTCAACACCGTTCTTCGCATGTTGAAGTTTCTGAACCATAGCGATTAGAGCAGATCTTGCATCTCCTGCTTCGTACATGCTTGTTAAGTAGTTATGCATTTCAATCACATGCTGCCAGGAAAAAAAAAAAACAAATACGTTAAAATTTTATTACAGAAATTTTATATCTGATCGAAAATAGTTGATGCATTTTAAGTGATACGATTCACTCTTTTTAGTGACATTCAACATGTAAATCTGCATTATTTATTACAAAAATTAAGATGGATAACTTACAGTTTTATCATACTCGGCGATGTCATCCATGACTCCCTTAAACCAATCAAAGGAAGCTTGTTCTCTTGTCACCCAAAAAAAATATGCTCTCTGTGGAAACTTTTTGCCTCCTCCACCACTAATACTATCACCTCCTACGCTCTCTCCTCCTACACTTCCTTCGTATTTTTGCCCCTATATTTTCCAATATTCATAATATAGTCCGTCTTTTTCCATCTTGCTAAACCTCACATATATATGGATAAAAATGTTTATACTACTTACAACTTTGGGAATCCCGGGTTTTAGATGGTTTAACATGTCTTTCAATATGCTTATGAATGGAGTTGCCCCAATCCCTAGTCCAACCAGCAAAAGAATGTCGAACTTTTGATAATTTTGTGCTGGAGCTCCATAAGGTCCCTTGATGAAAATCTTTGGAAACCTGGTATAAAATAGTGTTACTTATAACATGCTTTTTTACACTTTCGAGGTACTCAATCATTCATGTCAGGATCGTAGGTTGTATTAAAAAAACTGATATATAATAGCTTTTTAAGTAGTTATTAGTTTAGTATATTTTCACTTACAAGATTTGTGATTCTTCAATGTGAGGATTCGCACCTGTTGCTCTTGTTTCCATCCTCATAAGACTATTTGGTTTCGGCTTTGCGGCTGCTTGAGGAGGGGGCTCGCATGTCTACAAACACAATAGTGAATAATATTGAATAATTAAACTTGATTTTACTTAAATGTAATTAACATGAAAGACAAATATCACGGCTGTACTGAAAAATAAAGAATTACAAGAAATTACCTTTGCGAATGTGTTCCTAAGTTCAGTTGTCCAATCTCCTAATGCTCTTATGTGAACACTTAAATAGTCATCTCCAGGTGCAGAAGTGATGGAGAAAGGATGCCTAAATAAAAATAGTAATAATCGACACTACTATTTAGAATTAACCTTATAAATATTATAGTTTTAACTTATTTTGCTATTAAATATAACTAAATAAGCTAAACTCATGATATGATTTAACATTTATCTTACATAGGTATTGACTACTGATTTTTAGATTACCATTCGAATTGTGAGAGGTCAGGACACTTGACAAACATGTACATGCCACTTTTGTATTTGAATGCGGGAGGTTTGGTCACGTAAAGTGCAAGAACGTTGCCCGAATATACAATAGCCTATAATAAAAAGAAAAAAAATTATATATATATATTAGAAAAAATGAAAATTTTACTTAATATAGACAAAATAGTATCTTTTCTAACCCTTCTGATTACCTTAATCACGTGGACACGATGGCTGTGGTCTTGAAGAACACGTGAGAAAAGCCTCTCACTTGCGTAGAACAGCATAGGTACGGCCACGTACATCCATGTCTGCATGCATATCCATTTATCAACAAATTGAAAAAACAAACAAAGTATTTAAATTGAAATGCAAAATTTAATTTATTTTATATCGTGTTTCAATTACCGTTTTCTCGTACCAAGGCTTCTCGATGATAAGATAGTAACCATGAAGGATGAGAAGAACATAAGCAAGAATCAGCAAATGATGAGCATACCAAAACGCATTAAACCCAGCAAGAACGCTAAACGGTCTAGGCAACTTCACTATGTTCCTTCTAAAATAATGCATCGCGAGCGTAAACGAGAATCCCATGAAGAAAATCATTAAAACCCCAGTGATTGACACTGACGTCATCATCAAACCTAGGTAACTCGGCTGCGTGTGACCCAAGGCAGATCCAGCATACTTCAAGAACACGTCGTAAGAGCACGAACTTAACCTAGGGTAGTTACATAGAAGATGTAGCACCGTGTGGAGCAATGCATGGAACGCGATAGCATACGCAATCACCTTGTGGAAGTTAATGTTGTCATCGAATGGTATCATGCGACTCAAGAACGATGACCTAAGCATAGTCAGTGTTTTCCTACAGACCGGGACCAAGATCAGTGCCATGTTGAATTTAAGCGTTTCGGCCGCGCCTTTAGCGGCGCAAACGCAGCGTCCGGTGATGTTGTAGAGAGGATTTCTCATGAACTCGTTGTACTTCCACATGAATAGATAGACGTTGATGAGGAGCCACAAAGTTAGGACCCATATTTTCTTCCAGTTCTCGTGCATCAACTCTGCGGTCACGGAAACGTACTTGCCCATTGGCGTTCTGTACCGCTCTGGGATCATGGCACGAGTCAGCGTTTGAGATTTCTTCATCTTTTCAGTATCAGCGTTTGACACCATCCCTGTTAATAGCACTTCTAACTGCCACATCTGGTTGATATAAACTATAAAATGGTCAGAACACAGATCTATCTAAATTTTATAAACCTAAATACTATACTCTAAACACTAACTCATAACTCTTAAACTTAGACGTTAGTTTTAAAACTTTAAACTAGATTTTGACCCGCGCTTGAAAGCGCGGAGCGCGGAAATTTTTTATGATTAAAAATTTATATAATTGGGTTTTGTCTTAATTTAAAGAATGTTTTGGTATAAAATCAGTTCATCAAAATTTATGGTGATGATGATTGTTTTTCATTAGTTTTTAGTTTCAGTTTTTATTTTTAGATTTTGTTTTAGATTTTGGTTTTTGGTTTTTGGTTTTTAGTTTTTAAGTTTCTAGTTTTTATTTTTAGCTTTTGGTTTGTGTTTTTAATTTTTAGACCCGTTGAGTTAGTTTGAACTGATATTACCAACAAACAAATCCTAAATAATCAAACATCTAATTTAAAACTGAACAGATGACAAAAAAAATTTGCAATAGTTTATTTTTGTAAATAAACAAAAGCAAAACAAAATATAACTTGTGTTTTCGGCTTTTGGTTTTCACTTTTGTTTTTAGATTTGGTTTTTGATTTTGCTTTACATTTTTTAAATCAGTAAATTATTTAAGAAAAACAAAACAATAAATTATTTAAAATATCATGGAAACTTATCAAAATAAAGTGATTGTTATTTAAAATAAAAAATACATTAACATGTTTAAAAGTACATGATTTAAATAAATGAGTAATAATAGACAATTTTGTTTTGTTAAAAATATTAAAATACCTTTTGGGCCTAAAAATAATAATTGATTTTTTTTATCTATTAAGGTGGAAAGTTTATTCAATGTTTTTTGGAGTTTTTCTTTAATACTATGCCCAAAAACAAAACTATATAATTTGTTCTAAAAACAAAAGTAAGCCCAAGACTATATCTCATAAATAACCATCGGTTTAATTTAAGTAATGCGGTTCAATTAATTATATGGCTTGTGTTACATATTTGTAACACTCTAGAAAGAGTCCAAATTAAAATGATAACTTATATCAGTAGATAAAAAGAATGACTCTATTTTAATAGAGTAGATATTGGAGGTATATATGTATTTATATAATTTAAAATAAAATATTTTGGAACAAAAACATGTTTTGGTGTTATCAACTTATCATAGTATATATGTTGAAACAAAACAAAAAAGTTTAAAACATGAGTCTTTCAGAAGAAAACTGTAGCACTTAGTATAATCAAAAGTATTTGTATGAAGAGATAATAAATTCGATACACAGTTTTTCAACGATAACGATATTTTTGGGATAATTTATTTATATAAATAATACGTTGTTAAAATTATTCTCTAGACTTAATGCTAAACAAAACGAATAGAAATTTTGAAGAATAAAAGAAAGTTAAACCTCGATGTATCCCTTGTGATCAGGATCGAGTTCTTCCATGATCAAAGAGGCGTACGCGGCAGCATTCTTTTTGAGGTTACCGAGGCGGTTCGCGGCTGCACTCAAGACAATGACTTCTTTCACTTCATCTTCCGTGAGCTTACCATCTCCGTCCTTGTCACACCTAATTAACAACCGCAACGATTAATCGTCACACCACATTAAGATTTAAGATACATGTGAAAACGTATAAGATTATATAAGTAATTACATGTCGAAGAAGATTTGGAGACGACAATCGAGATCTTTCTTGATCATGTCTTCCCAAAACAGCTTAAGTTGATCTTTGTCGATACCACTTTCTGTCTCTATTTGTCTTCTCCTACCCAGTGCCTCGTAAACTTCTCCCGCAAACTCCATTGTATCTCCCATTCCTACCAATATATATACATACTATCAACTTTATAGATTTTTCTTTCCTGATAAAAAAGTTAATAATATAATGTTCTCGTCGGTAATTATTGTATATGCATGGATGAACATTCACACTTAACCCAACTGGAAAATACCCATCAAAAAGAATCCAAACCTTACACACAAAATTTGATATTCTAATGTATCAGTGTTCTAAAAATCGGTTTATGCGTCTGATTACACATTTATACTATATAAAATGGCTAATTACAAAATCAATTTCTTGAACATTGATATATGTCCATAGGTATTATTAGTATGCCAAGCCCTATCAATTAATTATAAGTAGTTTTGTTAATTACCAATGCATACGCCAAATTTCTCTTTAGGCAATTTGCCGTCAACAGAAAACTGATTAAACCGGTTCTCAATAGATCTCCAAGAATCTCTTTCCTTTCCAGTGACGGTCCGATCAAGGAACCGTAAGCTCTGGAGTCCCCTAGCCGCGCTAGATGTTGTCCTCTCTACTCTTTGTGGACCCATCTTCTTAGGAAGGATCCCAGCACCTGGAGGCCCCAGGTTACCGCTTTTCCTCGTACTTGGAGACCCAAGATTACCGCTCTTTCTCCAGTTCGAAACGCTCAACGTACGGATTATCGATCCCACACCCCTTGACGCAGCCTTCTTTAGACCACTTTCGTTCTTCTTGACGTCTGGCTGTTTGGACGAAGTTTCACCCATTGGATCGATCTCTACACTCTCTAACATCCATTTTTCATCGCTAGGACTGTTATTTTTCATCATTTTTTTCTCCGGGACTAGTAGTTTGATTGAAGAATCGTCGGAGATCTTATAATTCTATCTTATTTCCTATCAGTTTGTCTTGTTATTTTTTATTCTGGTTTAATCGAATTATTCGACAAGGAGAAAAAGTAGGAGAGGCGCTGATTTTGTATCGTTTGTATCTTTTTATGTTTAGAAATGAATACGCATGAAGAAATTACTAAAAATAGAAAGTCCTAAGGAATCCATTTGTTCAGGTCAACCATACACAGACGACCAATCAAAGACCTATAAAATCAATTTGACTTATAGTGGTTAGTTAATATATATATATAGAAAGTCATTAACAAAGAGGAGTAGTTCAAAAGAATGAATCAGAAGAAGAAGAAAAAACAAATACAAAATTAAACGCCATGATTAGCGGTTGTGTAGTCAACAAGGACCTCCCATAACAAGATAAGAATGATAGCGTACATCATCACTAACAATCTTTGCAATGTCCGAAACAATAGAACTGAAGGCATGAGAAACCAAATCAAAGGAACAGTTTGTGAAATGGGACAGCTCCAAGTCTCTTAAAATATGTTCTAACAATAGAAAGTTGATGATCTCCGCAACTTATATAATATCACTAAACTATATTTAATTTAATATGGTTAACTAGAAAGATCTAGTTATCAATCTTCCCCTAACAACAAAGCCATCTCACACAGACGCTATAATTTCCCCTATATATGCTCATGTGCAACCTGACTAAAGTAGAAAAGCATAGTGGCGGATGGGGTATTTTATGTGTATAAATGAAATAAATAAATATCAAATGTATAGGAGAGATTCCAAGACTTCGAGTAATCCTACCTGATTTGGGCCGGAATCAGGCTTTGGATGGGCTAATACTGAACCAGATAGTTTCTAATAAATTCTAACCGCAGCTGAATATCTAGATATTAATCATCTTTGAATCGGTAAACTTACTGACACCCAAGAAAAAAAGTAGTGAATAATAATAGTCCTAGCCTAGCACCTTCATCACTAAAAAAATTCAAACCAAAATACTAATATTTTAGGGTTTGCACATCATTGTAGAGAAGTACCAGGACCGAGAAAAGTACATCATAAATGTGTTAGGAAATATTTAAAAAGTTTTCATTTGAAAATTACTATTTCTTCACTTTGTAAGATATGATATATTTCTTTTCGAACAAACTTTCCCCAATGAAGTCAAAATCATGGACACTCTTTTTGTTTTGATCAACTCATGGACACTCTTATAGTGGCGTTATTCCCGTCTTTGGCTCGGCCCTTCGGCTGTCCACATTCGTACGAGTAGATCAAAAGTTGTATCATATAGACCTCTCAACTCCTGCCGGCGACAATAACATTGCTGAGAAGTGGGTGGGATTTAGAGTGTGGTAGCCAACGATGTGCGTAGGAGCTTTGTACACCCACTAACGTTTTGGAGTGGCACGAGAAACCGTACGTTTAGGACGTACGACTCGGAAAAAGATGCTTCGGTTTGTAAAAGGTTCGCGTTTCATCGCTGTTAAGAACGATGAATATTTATCGTTAAAACAATACCAAAAGAATACGAGACAAGATTTTTCCATCATTTGAAATATATAAATCATATTTATTGTATTTTTATTATTTTTTTACTTACGGTTTAGTTAAAATGTTACAATATCCTTTATTCATTTGTTAACACTTTAATTTGGTGCATAGTATCAGGCCATTAAGTAGGCTATTAAACCAAACCTAGATATGCATTGTCGTTTGTCAACTTCTCCGTATTTATAAAGCGTTATGTTCCAATCATATGACGGATCTATTATCAAAACAAGGTCTAAGCATAATTACATGTACTAAATCCAAGTTTCTATATGAGATTTAAGCGTTTGTGACACTCCACACAAAAAAATATTTTTCCACCAGCCTCATGTACATTGTTCCAATAATAATGGTTCTTTATTTTCACAAGCTTAGTGTGAACTTACCAAATTCTATATAGGTAGACATATAGATATAAAATAGTGGATGTTATCAAAATCTGTTACATTGCATCTTTAACAATGCTCACGCTACGCAACATCAACCTGTCATGTCAAAGTAACATATAAAAATATATGAACTAAGCTAGTCAACCGAATAATTCACGAAATCGTGGGTCTAGCACATCAATGTTGTGACATTTAAAGAGCACATACGTCGCTATGCTCAGTAATAATGTATTCCCTTGACATTGATATGAAAATTTTCAGTTTTAAGTGTTTGTTTTGCAATATGTCGCACTTAATTACCTCTCTTCTAATCATCTCAATTTTATTTCCAGTTTTCAACATAACAAACACGATGTTGAAGACCTAAACAAAAGAAAAACAATGGTGTAGACTGTAATAACTTATATTTTAAAACAGTATATTTTACATATGTAAAATTTGTCTTGAAACCTTTTTCACCTCATAGAAGTTTGAGTATCTCTTTTGCTTTTTCTTCTTGTACAGGTTTATATATCTAAGTTTACAGATTCTTTAAGCTAATAAATTCGACTCTCATAAGCAAACTTCTTCAGTAGATAAATTTGATGACAAAATATATAAACATATTTCATAAGAAAAACTAATAGTTTCATTTTATTTTATTATTTCTTTTGGCAGATCAGTTTAAATAAAGAACCAAAAGATTAAATTAAAAAGACTAAAAGATGAGGAAAGGGGAGAGAAAGAAAAGGACAGTAATGGGGAAGGCTTATCTTAGAGAAGGTGCATTTTGCCACACCAGTCTTTCATTGTCACTGTTAGTCAACTTCGCACCTCTGTTTCCTACCTTCAAATTTCATTTTCTCTTTAAGATTTGACATTGATCTTATGCATGTACTTGACATGAACTAGTGCTTTCAATTAAAGAAATTCGTCTGGGTATAACATGTATGCATATATTAGTAATAAATACCTTAACTTGAAAGTGAAACAACCAAAATGTTTTTAGTTTCAAAGTTACTACGCATTTTTGCATCCCGCTGACTTTCCAAATCAAAAAAGGTATCATTTCGTTCAAAGCCTAACTTTTCTTTTAGCCTAACCCATTTTACCTGTTTTGGAAAGTTACTTCTTCATCCTGCTCTTAATTTTGGCCTTAAGGTCGTCCTATATCTAGCCCAATATATAGCTCGATATATACATCCACCCATTTATAGATAAGTTATTTCAGCGAGGTCAAGGATCAACTTTTGTGTGTGGCCTACTATATAATTTAATTACTAGGTGATTTTCCCGTGCTCATGCACGGGTATGAATATTCATAAAAATAAAATTTTATAATAATATTGATATTTAGTTTTAGTTTTGAATCAATTTATATTTATAATTTATATTAATATATTACATTATTCTAACTATACATATGACTTTGGATATATTATTGTCGATTTAATTATTTTTTAGATTAATAGTCGGTTTGGTTATCAATTTGGCATATTGAATAATATCTATTTTTCGAGTTCAGCTATAATATTTTTATTCTAAATATAATAAAACTTTGATTAGTTTTCTTATTTCATTTCGGTTGGTTATTGTCTTAGACATGTAAATATATTCTTAGATATGTAAATATACTATGGTTAAATTATGTATAACTTAATATATATTGTGCTTAAAAAACAAAATAAGTTAAAGTGCTTGATTCACAATTACATAAATGAATATAATGATAAAATTTTGAAGTCTCATGCATATATATAAATTCTACAAAAGAATTAAATTTTAATTGGTTAATATTTTCTTTTTCTTTTTAATATGCTTTGAGTCAACCTCTAATTTATATGTATAAAATTAAATATATTATTATTATAAATTATATTTTATTATTGTAGTTAGATATTTAGTTTGGATATAAATTAGATTAGCCGAGTCATTCATTTTGTGAGTATATTGAGTTAAATATATTTTTAAATTAAAATTGAAGTATAATTACTTTTTATTTTAGTTAAGTCAAATCAAATTATTTTTATGTATCGCTTAAATATACATGTATTTTCATAATATTTATTTACTCTTTATTTTAGTTAAGTCAAATCAAATTATATTTTCATAATATTTATCAAATTATATGTTGATTTCTAAACAATATTAGAAAATAAACAGTAACTGATAAAATTTTGGATGTTCATGAACATATATATTTTATTATTATGAAAATATATTTTATGTTATTTAAAATATATATTAGTGGGGTATTACTATTTTGTGAACTTTCCTTTTTAATAAAGTCATATTATATAAATAAATTTTCGTTTTTAAGTTTGTTTTAAAATTTTAGAAATATTCCTTTTTATTATATATGTTATTTGTAAAAATGTAAAAAAAGAAATTACGAAAAAAAAATTAATAATAATCTTAAAATCTAACAATTCATTAAGGGTATCTATGTAATCAACCATCGCGAGAGTTAACGTGAGCGCGACACGTAGGACACTGACTTCTCAAATAATATTATAAAATTAAATATATTATTATTATAAATTATATGTTCTTATTGTAGTTAAATGTTTAATTTGAATATAAATTAGATTAGCCGAGTCATTCATTTTGTGAGTATATTGAGTTAAATATATTTTTAAATTAAACTTGAAGTATAATTTCTTTTTATTTTAGTTAAATCAAATCAAATTATTTTTATGTATCGCTTAAATATACATGTATTTTCGTAATATTTATTTACTCTTTATTTTAGTTAAGTCAAATCAAATTATATTTTCATAATATTTATCAAATTATTTGTTGATTTCTAAACAATATTAGAAAATAAACTGTAACTGATAAATTTTTGGATGTTCATGAACATATATATTTTTATTATTTTGAAAATATATTTTATGTTATTTAAAATATATATTAGTGGGGTAGTACTATTTTGTGAACTTTCCTTTTTAATAAAGTCATATTATATAAATAAATTTTCGTTTTTAAGTTTGTTTTAAAATTTTAGAAATATTCCTTTTTATTATATATGTTATTTGTAAAAAT